AAGTACTAAATCCAGGCGAATAGAGAAGGGGAGAGAAACTACGAAAAAGAAAGGAACAACCAAAGCGAAATGGTCCAAAAACTGGGCTAACAGGTGCCCAGGCAAACAATCTGCGCCACAACAGGCTAAAAACAAAAAACCATAAAAATACTACCCAAATCTAAGAGATGGTTAACCAAGTTGATCCATCTGTATAAGTGTGCGAAGGTGGGAGGAGTGGTGTATGACTAGATGATGCGCCTTTAGAGAGTGGAGAGGCTGATGCAGACAAGGAAGTCAGTGGATCGGTTCCTCTCGCAAAAATTGTGTGATATCCAGTAGCGGACCTATTGGACTAAGGATCTAATGCGTATGAGTGAATGTTGAATTTTTCATGAACCCTAGAGTAGCTCTAGGCGTGCTCTCAGTCCTGAATGATGAATTAGAAGAACAACCGACCTTGAAATTAGGCTATTGTGAAACTTTATCGACTAAATAGTCGATCAAATCATTTTATTTACTCATGCATATATATTAGACATTAGGCAATAATTTCTTTTTGAAAAAAAAAGACATGCGCACAAAAAAGAATCTTTATTCAGTAAAAATAATCATGTAGTTTTAACTAAGGGTTAATTGCTAAATAAACTTTAACCTTTTTGCGTTTTACAATTTTATCTCAATCTTTGGGTAATTGCAATATAATCTCGACCTCAATTTACTTATTGCAAGTCGAACCTAAAACCGGTTGGACCTTCAAAAAACTGGTCGATTTGAAGGCGGTTCGAATAGATCGAAGCTCATATTTATCGATTCACTCCAGATCTAGGAGGAGACTCATCATTGGTAGCTTACATCGACGTGGTTTCTTTGGCCTTGTGCGTGGATATACATTAAATACGTGGAAATTTTCAACTTGATACGTGGATGACATAAAAGCCCGTGTCAATGGAAGACTTGGACACAAAATCGATCCACAAATCCCTAAAATCAATCACTTTGCACCCAAATTTGCAATAAGTAAATTGAGGTCGAGATTATATTGCAATTACCCAAAAATTGGGATAAAATTACCAAACGCAAAAAGGTTAAGGTTTATTTAGAAATTAACCCTTTAACTAATCAAAAAGGGTTTGGATTTAGTGGCAACTTTGAAAACATAAAATTCTATAATTATTTTATGTCGAGGTTTTTTATTTATCTCCCTATATATAATTTTCAATGTAATGAGCCTAAGTGGCGAACTAGTACCCTTCATATTCTATGTAGCAAAAAATAATGCTTCATGTTGTGACTTTGATATAAGGTAAGATACTTTTTATTATCAATCCAAATGCCTATTAGACATCGTAATTACCATAATAATATATTATGTAACTTTATTTTGCTAAGTATTTTCCCAAAACAATAGATATTATTATAAATCAAAATGCACAACTGTGAACCCCAAGTTGAATGAAATCGCCAACAACTGAAAAAGTGGGAGGACATGTCCGAAGACCGCCTAGAATTCTGACTAGCAACGCTAAAATAAAAGCACTCTCAACTAAACTAAAAGCCACACACACGGACACCAAACACAAACTAAAACTAAAACAACTAAAAGATCCCAACAGGATAATGCCCGAGTGTAGAATCCCAACAGGATAATAACGTTACACTCGGGCTCATAGAGACTAAATGGTCTAAACAAAAAATACAAGAACAAAGAACAACACTAACACAGACTCAAACAAACAAAAACTAAAACTATATAGATTAGGCCCTTCCACAGCAAACAATCGGCCCTAACCAGCGAAGAACAGTCAAAATCGAGGAATGATCCATGTTCAGGGGACGGATTCCAAAACTGCCACAAGGCCTATACAAAAAGTCAAGCCCGAACACAAGCTAAACTTCGAAACAAACCACCTCAACCGTAGG